CATGTGCGACTTTCAGACAATGCAGAACAAAAACAAAAAACGCATTGACGATACACAGTGGTCCGGAAGAAATACATATATCACAGCCATCCTCCGTCTGCAGCACGGGATAGTGGCCGCACAGGCTGCAGTTGCGGCCGTACTCGCACGCCTTCAGCGTTCACAGCATGTGCAACATGGCGTGTGTATGTTTACTTATGCTTGTGTGCATGTCAGCGCCTATACATGCAGAGCAGCTATGCCGCAGAAGAGAATTCAAAGAGAACAAAGGGCAGAGAGAAGGACAGCACACACAAATTACTCATATCATCAGAAAAAACGCAGCCCGCGGAATGGGTGCTCTCAACCACAAAACAATAAAAGAAACAAAACAAGCCGAAGCGTGGGACGACCAGCGCACACACTCTCATTGCTCCCGTGAAGCAAAACACACACACAGGGAGAGAGAGAGAGAGAGAGGTCGCCCACTCAATGCAATAAAAACAAAAAACAGTTACGGTGCTCCGCCCATGCAGCCAGGCAGGACGGCAGCGGTGCGTGTCGTGCAAAAGAGAGCACCAACGGGCCTGCATGGGTGTGCATGCATATATACAATGGGCACATTATGTGTGTGCCTCGTGGGGTGAGGTGAGGGCGAGAGTCCATGCAAGGGGACACACACAGAGAGTGAGTGAAAGACGAGTGTGTGTGCGGGCGGTGCACGGCTCTCTCTCCCTCACTCTCACGCGGCCACCACCGCAGCAGCAGCCGCACACGCAACAAGAAGAAGCAAAAGAGGGGAGGTGTTGTGGGAGACCGCGGTGCTGCCGTCACTTTCGCCAGTCGTCGCCGTCGTGGTTTTCATTACTGTGGATTCGACTGGTGTTTCCTTCGGATTGGCTTCTTTATTTTCATTTTGTTTTTCTTCTTGTGTCACTGCACCATCAGCTGCTGGATCTTTGTCGCCAGTTGTTTGAGTGCTTTGGGGTTTTGTTTTATTCGATGCTTCCTCCACACGAGAAGATAAAATTGGCTCTTCCTGACCGCCTTCTGAAATCCTCTTTGTAGTGCTGGTACCAACTTTTTCTTCTTCCTCTCCCTCCTCCTCCTTGCCATCATCCACTTCCACTTCCACTTCCTCCTCCACTTCATCTTCCCCTTCATCATCATCTTCCTCCTTCAATTCATTATCAGCTTCACCTTTTTTCGTCGTTTCTTCCGCCGTTCCTGATGCCTCTGCTGCGGGTTGTAGTGCCGATTCCTCTTCCGTTCCTGGTACGGGCACCGGTGATGGTGCTGCTGGTTGTGACGCTGCCTGTTGACCGGTTGGGCCAACTGCTCCAACGCCATCAATTGTGTTGTGTTTACCTTCAGAATTATTGCCGTCACCAGACACACCAGTACCCGGAGCTTCTGGAGCTGCTTCAGAACATCCACCACCGCCGGCACCGCACCACAGCACGCAGAGGGCACATAGCAACAGCAGGCGGCCAGTCACCATCATCATCACGGCTGCACAAACAGTGTAGAGAGGGGCAAAGAGAGAAGGATGAGAAGAACACAAACACACATCAGCAGCAGCAGCATGGAGAAGGAGTGACGTGTGCATGAGGGTTGTTGTCATGAGCATGGGGGACGCGTGCACGCAGGAATAACAAGCAACAATAAAACACCGGACAGCACGGCGCACAACTCCATGGCATGTAAAACCCACACGCAGCTGCCCCTAATGGAAAAGAAAGAGGACGCCACGGTGCGGCAGGAACACAGAGATGACGGCGCAGAAAAGGATCCCAAACCGGCGTGAAAAAAAAGCAAAAAAAAAAGTCTTCCCCCACAGCAGCCACATCCAACACGCAAATAATAATAATAATAATAATAAACACCACACACGGCAACTCACAGGGCAGTGAATACCCCTGTCGCCAACCTTCATGGCTGCTCGCCCCCAAATTCCTCGGGAGTCCATCGCTCCGCCGCCTTCCTCCTTCCCGCGGCTTCCTCGCACGAACAGCCACGGCACAAAATCGGGTCCATCCGCACCTGTCGCCACGCTACCCTCAACGACCCAACAGGCAACCGCCCAACGACTGTTGCTGAAATCACACACCCGCAACAAAGCACGCGACGCAACGTCATGTCACGTGGACTCCTCCGTCGGCAGCACTTCACGTCAACCGTTTGGCCGGCACACGGAACAGTCAATTGACATAACAGAGAAGTAAGGCAGGTACTCAATCAAGGAATCTCCAAACAAACACACGGCTCTTTTTATGCCAATGCAGCTGCCACGGGCACGGTATCCGAGCGGAAAATGACAAGCAGTAAAAAAAGCCTCGCAAAAGGAAACCAATCCACACGCCCATATGCAAAGCGCCACTCGGACTGGTGCAGCTGCAGGGTCCGTGGGCAAAAATGCGACTTACTGAATCCCGCCAACTATGTCAGTCTCCCCTCCCACCAATGCCACGCATAATGCACGGTGTGCGTCCACAGGCATCCACTCCCGGTGCCCTAGCAACACTTCAGAAAAGAACGCAACAGGAGTAATACAACGAGCACCACACTATGCCACCGCAACAGCAAGCACACCACAGGACAGCAAGACGCCACGCAGCGATGTTTTGCTATTTCACACAATTCATTTACCGCACACACCAAAACATAAATAATGGGAGAAGCGAAGTATCATTACACAATGCCAAAGCAAATAAATAAAAATAATGGGGTCAAAACCACACAAATCCCTCGCACACGCACACAAACGCCCCACAGTATCCTTCAGAAAAAGTCAAACAAGTTGTTGTTCCTAAACTCATTGAAAACACGCGTGGTGACGCCACATTAGCAACCAACACAAAAGAGAAAGAATGCATACAGCATTTCCCCGGTAAAAATTATACAGACAAGCAGGGCACATAAATGTATGTACTGTGAGGGACATGCCAATTGATATGGGCTTTTCTCTCTTGCAACCACTGCTGAGTGCGGACCACGCAGGACGCAACCGCAGTCGCCTCGTCGTGCAGCGGCATCCATGCAGCCACCCAATGGAGCTTTGGCACGGCGGCGGCAGCGGACAGGGAAAAGCAGCAGCAGCAGTGTTATTGCCGTGGATCGAAGGCGAGGCGTACTTCATATCTGCCTCCCAATCCCCGCGCCCCACCGCTGCATCATCCTCCCTCGGCGGAGGGTCCACGGCACCTTGCGCGTCATCAGCGGCATCAGGGCTCTTGGGTCCCGTGGCTGCGGCACCGCCACCGACCTTGTCGCTCACAGCCTCATCTCCTGTTGGATTGTCCCACCACAGACGTCACAACATCGGCGGCCACATCGTCGCTGTCCGGAACATCGCTCTTCTTCTCCGCCTCCTGCGGCGCACCCGCGGTGTCGCTGGGCGAAATCACTCCGTTGCCGTCGTGGCATCTGGGGCGACTTCTTTCTCCTCTGGCGACGGATGCTTCTGGGGAGCAGTCGTGTCTACATCCTTCGGTGGTGTGCCGCGGCCGGTCTCAATGCTCTCCGTAACGGGGACAGATGCCCCTGGTAATCCTTGTTCAGTAGATGCCGGTGAAACCGTCCTGCTCCACATGCTCTCTCCTCACCGTCCCACGGAACCACTGGAAGTAGGCTACCGCTGGTGGCGGATATCGTGCACACCTGCGCGTGGTCACGGCAAATAACGGTCCCTCATCGTAGGGTCGAGCAGCCCACGCAATCGTCGCCCCGTCCGTGCATGGGGCTCTACGGATGTTACCCTTTTCAGCCACTTCCAGATGCACCTGCATGCCGAGGCACCGCAATGCCGCATGCGCTGCAGCACTGAGATGTGTCTCCTCCGGGTTCCTTGCATCCGTCGTGTTGTTGGGAAGCGTGTCCAGACACCAAGAAGAGGGCTCATCCCCAGGCATCGCAGACAAATATTCTCCCCTCCAAATAACAGCCTCAACATCCTTCACATCCAGTGCGGGATCAGTGATGGGGCAACGGCCCATCGAGTGTTTTGCTGACATCTCATGGATGCTCCCCAGATACCAACCGCGGGAATACCGATCCGACGCACAGCGTTTGACAGGGACACCCACGTCGCAAAGCATGTAGCAATATTCACTCGTGTTCAGTGCGGAGCACTTCCTCTGCAGCAGCTCACAGCCTGGATCCCTCCACCAACGCGTCGGCTCCGCCATCTACCAGTTCACTATAAAGCAGCCCAGGTAAGCCGATGCGGCCAGCGTCAGCTCCGTGCAGTCGCCGGCACCCCCAATCGGTGCAATCCACTCATCGCTCGCGTGGCGCCGCGACCAGTGCGACTCCAGCGTCCTCCCGTCCCCATCGCCATCCTGCAGTTCCATGCCATCAATGTCGTCGCAGTCGTGGTGCTCCCTCGCAGACATCGCGGCATTCGTCGAGTGCACCACCACCAACAGCGCCCTGACACGCACACCGACAACATGCCTCACCATGCTGCGGCCTGCCAAGTGCGGGCAGTTGAACCCGACAGCATGGGCCAACAGGTGCGCGGCGATGCGGGTGGCGATGCGTCCGTGAAATGAAACGGCCGGGAAATGAAACTGACAGGCAAAGTGCATGGCGCCAGCGACTGGACGGCCATCCTCCAGCGTGACGCACGGCAGTGCCCACACACCACCCAGCACAGCAGCCACGCACTGCGCTATGACAGAATTGGCAACAACAGCGGAACGATGCCCGTCAGGCACCGTGAACAAACTGCAAACGCTGCCCGTGGCAAATGTGGGCACAATCAACGGACCCTCCATTGGCTAGACGAGCAGACGATTCGCATGCAGTTACACAGCAGCAGGGACAGCTTCCTCGGCAAGGATGTTACTGTGCGCAAAGGTCAAAACACCATTCTTACTGCCAAACGCGCCGTCAAACAAATTCACTTTGCAAGACCGGGAAAAGCCGCAGTGCCTCCTGCTGCCACACGGGTCCGTTGTTGACTTCTTAATGCGGAAGGTCACCCATGGGCCCTTCCAGACGCCGCTGCACACCCGCAATGCGTCCTGCGCTCTGAGAGGCATGTCCCTCACCGTCAGGAGAATCAACCACGCGCCGTCGGACGTATCGCGGCGTCAAAAGAAAAAGGATACGTCAAGGTGAAACAAAAGCACCAACTGGCAAATCACATCACAAACATCATCACAAGCTGAAGAAGCAGTGCTGCTGGCCGCGGGCAACGTGGATAAAATGGCGCATGGCACACGTGGAAAGAAACACTGAGTGGCTTGGCAAGGTCACGAAAGGCTGACACCTTCCTCAGCAACAAGAAAAACAATATGGGAATAACAAGGGAGGATTAAAGTGATCGCAGTCAAAACATGCCGCCGATCAAAAAGGCGGAGTGTAAGTGCGCAACCACAAAGCAATAAAACAATAAAAAAAAACAAGCGTGGGACGACCAGCGCACACACTCTCATTGCTCCCGTAAAGCAAAACACACACAGGGAGAGAGAGAGAGAGAGAGGTCGCCCACTCAATGCAATGGAAACAAAAACAAAACAGTTACGGTGCTCCGCCCATGCAGCCAGGCAGGACGGCAGCGGTGCGTGTGGTGCAAAAGAGAGCACCAACGGGCCTGCATGGGTGTGCATTCATATATACAATGGGCACATTATGTGTGTGCTTCGTGGGATGAGGTGAGGGCAAGAGTCCATGCAAGGGAACACACACAGAGAGAGAGAAGGACGAGTGTGTGTGCGGGCGGTGCACGGCTCTCTCTCCCTCACTCTCACGCGGCCACCACCGCAGCAGCAGCCGCACACGCAACAACAAGAAGAAGCAAAAGAGGGGAGGTGGTGTTGGAGACCGCGGTGCTGCCGTCACTGTCGGCAATCTTTGTCTTCGTATCAGTTGTGTTGGCGGTTACTGTCGTTGCTTTTGCATCTTCCCCAGTCCCTTCTGAGCCTTTGTCTCGGTGGCTTTGTGGTGTGGCTGCGGTCTCAGGCGGCGGAACATTTTTTTCGCCTTCACTCGTGGTGTCTTCGCCATCCTGTTCTCGGGAAGCAACATCTTCTTCTGGAGGTGATGGAAGATTTCCTTCCGCAATTTCCCCAGGCAGTGTGTTCTCTCCGTTAACTGTTGTGAGTGCTTTCTCTGCTGATGGTGAATTTTTGTCTGCGCTCTTGTTTCCTTCAATCTCCGTTTGCGTAGGATTGGCTTTTGATTCCTTACTGCCAGAAGGAGAAATGTCACCTGCAGGTGCAATTGACTGGCCTGTTTCCTGCCCGCTGCCAATTAAATTCCTTTCCCTGGAATCTGAGCCAAGTGCAACATTTCCTTTTTCACTACTCTGACCTTCTTTACTTTCTTCTTGATCCTCCGTCTCTCCATCTGCATCACCATCTTTAGGAGGGAAAGATGCGAGTGATGCAGTTCCCTTAACACCTGGTACTCCATTTTTTAAGTCTTGGGGGTCTTGTTGAGACGTTTCAAGAGGTACTGGTGCAGGTGGAAGTTCAGCATCAATCCCAGAGCCTGCCTTGTCCTCGTCACATCTACCGCCAGCACCGCACCACAGCACGCAGAGGGCACACACCAGCAGCACACGGCCAGTCATCATCATCGCCATCACTCCTGTCACTTACGTGCAGCCTTCAGCACAAACTAACTCCCCGTCAACGCAGAGCAAAAAGCAAAAGGGAAGAGACAAGTCACACAGCCACGTACAGTAACAAATGGCGGCCCACCAGCAGCAACAAACACACCATGAGGCAGTTGAAATCAGTGAAAGGGCAAAAAAGGCACACAAACACAGTCCTGCAGTAATTAATCAGCAAGAAAAAAAAACAATTAAAAACAAAAGTAAAAAAGCAACAAAAAACTTTAATAAAAGGAGCTGCACAGTATGGCGCCATTGTGCATGCATCCACATGCAAACATGCGTCCACCCAAACAGTTGTTTGCTTGTGGTGCATATGAGTGTGTCTGGGATGCGTTCAACGTGACGGATACATGGAGCAGCAACGTGGAGCACACAGCAGGGCAGCAGAAGCAAATGAAGCAAAACACAATCATAATTTTCTCTTATTTATTTACATTGGAACACAGTGGACACGCGCACAAATACCCGTGGTTGAGTGCTGGCACGCACAGCCCGCATACACACCTCTTCAGCCCAGAGTGGTGTACGCCAGCGCGGATACGGCGAGCAGCAGCGGGGCACACACCCACGCAGAGCTGCTGAGGCTGCCGTCGATTTCGCGAAGACGTGACGGTGTGCGGGTGGTCGTCGTGGTTGGCGCCTCTGTAGTTGTGGCCTTATTAATAGGTGCCTGTGTGGTCGTTGTGGTGGTTGGCGCCTGTGTTGTACTCGTGGTGGTCGTTGTTGGTGCGGCAGCCTTCTTTTGTTCATTTGCCGTAACGGCGTTCGTATGTTCTGTCTGTTCATTAGACTTCCCACCATCTTGATCCTGTGTAATATTGGAAGTATTTTGTGACTGTGGCGTTTTGGTTATTGTACCCGTTGTATGTGACTGTTCCGTCCCTCTCCCTTCATCGTTATTCTTTGGTGGAGAAGGAGTTGTACTTGGCGGACCCGTTACCTGCTTTTGTTCGTCTGGCTTAGACTTCGTTGGAACGGAATCTTTTACAGATTTACCAGTTGCAACTTCACTCCCTGTCACGCACACGGACGGGCAGCAGCACAGGGCGAGCACCAACAGGGCGCACAGCAGACGGCACGTCATCATCGTGAGTGTGGTCGTTCAGTGGTGTGGAGCTGATCTGCACAGTGAGGGACATGGAGAGCAACAGGGGAGACGAGAGGTGCGGCAGACACACACAGAGGGCACACCACATGAGGAGAGGGCAGCAGCCAGGCATGCACCGTACGCCGCACACCACGCACGACACACACTCCAATCCACGGCAACAGGCACACACACACACACAGCTCTGCCGCAGCACCAACACACAGGTGGAAGAGGGAGAAGCAAACAGGAGCGGCACACAAGGCTCCACCGCATGCACATACGGCGAGAGCGGTCCGTCGTGTCTGCACCCCTCACGGAGTGTACGCACACACACAAGAGGAGGTGCAGCGCACACAGCAACACAAAAGCAAAGTAACAATTAAAAAGGAGAGATCCCCGCACACCACGTGAATTGTTGGTCCACGGGAAGTGCAGCCAATATTTATTGCGAAAAGATGCATTTTCTCCTCTTTAATTTATTTTGTGACAGCAATGGGTAGCGCAAGGGCCGTCAGCAATAAAGTGGTAAGTATTCCTTCGCAAACGGACCGTCGTGCGGCTGAGGCGGTCCCAAACAGTCGCAGTCCATATTCTCAACGACGGGGCATTACCACGGTGGATGAAGTGGAGTGTCCCGTGTCCCGTCGGGGATCAGCAGCACTCGGCGTCTGTGATGAGGCAGTGGCGGAAGAGCCCGGTCCATCTCGAATGCCCGCGCTTGTGCTTCCTGCGTGTCCTGTCTGCCAGTATTCTTGGCGACTTCGGTGGCAACCTGCGCGCGAGGCGTCTGTTAAGAAGACGGTGGAGCCATTGCGGCATGCAAAGTTGAGGCCCTCTCCAACTATCGGAACGCCAGGCCAAGCACGTCGAGAATGTGCCCTCATATTGTGGACGGACGAGCACACTCTGCCGCAGTTTGGGCAGGACGACTTCAATCCGCCGCTCGCTGGTCGGAAAGAAGTTGCGGTGCTCACGTCTGGAAGAGGTTCCGGCGGAGGCAGAGGCAGGACCTTCTCCTCAGTAAAGAGGGGCGGCGCCACCGACACAGGGAGTTACTTATGATATGCAGGGCGCGTGCAGGCCTGTCGAAGAGCGGGCAGGAGTCGCATCGCACCTGTGTGCGGTGCCGCCACTCGGGGCTCGATGTCCGGGTCGTCCCAGGAACAGAGTCCTCGCCACACCGAAAAACGCCTGTCACGCGGTGTGTGCGCCTTCCTTTTCCTCATGGACGTCCTTCCGGTTCCGTCGCCTGACTGCAGTAAGGAAGCCCACGTGCCAGGCATTGACGCAGTCCTGCGGGAGGGATCGCGCTATGATGGCATCAGCGTCCGCTGTCACGTTGCGCGGGATTCCGCAGTGCCATGAGGAAAATGTGAAGCCAACAGTGCGACCTTGATCCGCCAGTGAAAGCGGCACGGTGCAAATCTCCTCGGTGACGTCGTCGTGCACCGCCAGCGAGCCAAGGCGGAGCGCCTCCATCGCCGAGAGGGAGTCTGTGGCGGCAGGAACTCGTGTGGGCGATTGGGATGCTGCCGCCAGGCGGGGAACTGAAAACTTTCTGTGGCCATGCTGAGTGACAGGACACTCCGCTTGGCAGGAGCATGCAAGGCTGCAAGCAGCTGCGCGGTGAGGCCCCACAGGGAGCTCCGCTGTCCGGGGAGTCAAGTGGCAGCGCGGCGGATCCAGACGCACGCTCAGCGAGAGACGACAAGCCGTCCACCGCCAACACAGTTGCCAGCGACTAACAAGACGTTGACCATGAATAGGACACGTATGCCCGCACCGCCGTGGGCACGGACAGCGACCCCGATTCACTCAGCAACAGCGATCTAATGCCTCTGGATGGTACAACAGCCACGCCTGAGCCCAGCACAGCCCTAGCAAATGTTGAACGAGTGATAACGTGTCGGGCGGCGGTGATGCCGCACAGGATTATTTGCGCACAACGTCTGGGAAACCAGAGATCCCATCGGAGCGCAGCGCAGAAAAAAGCCTGGAGGACCTTTTGCTTGAGTACGGGCATTTCACGGATTTGTTGGCCATGGCTGAAATTCGTGACATCACCGTGCATGGGTGTGTGTCTCGGGTGTTGTTGCTTCTGCTTCTGGGACTGTGGGGCACTGCGGCACTCTGCTGAAGTGTGAGGGAGGGTGGAATTGCGGTTTTCGTGGAACAATAACTGTGCAGCTTGCCAGCATTACCCACTGAGTTTTGTCACTAATTTAAGTTTTTTTATTTTCTTTTATTTATTTATTTTTGCTGCTTTTGTCCTATTGGAATAATCAGCATCCCTGTGTTTTTCTGCCAATGGTCGTTTGCTGTACTTTGTCATGAGTGACGTGCTTCTCCCTCTTTTGTTTCCTTCTGTTGCCCACACGCGGTGCCGGCCTCATTGCTGTGCGTCCCACGGAATGCACGAAATGAGGATTGGAGAGACAGGCCGGATGCCGCAATGAAGTGTGAGGGGAGTTGTGTGGGCTCACGGAACAGTACGATCTTTTTTTTTTTGATTTATTCAGTCCATGCATTACGTATACACAAACCAGTGGTCGTTTACATTTTGCTGCTTGGCACATAAAATAAAAGTCGTGCCTGATCGTTTTTTTATTACTTTTTGGGAGTCATGCCGGACTCTCAACTATGTTGTTGTTCTTTTCTACTGCATTTTTAACTTCTGGTTTGCAGGGCTGTGTGTGAGTTCTGCAATTGTACTGATTCCAACTGCCTAATGGTGCGTGCATTGTCATTTGTGACTGTGCGTGCGGTGGCTGTGTGACTTGTCTCTCCTTTGCTTTTGCTCTGCGTTGACGGGGAGTTAGTTTGTGCTGAAGGCTGCACGCAATTGACAGGAGTGATGGCGATGATGACTGGCCGTGTGCTGCTGGTGTGTGCCCTCTGCGTGCTGTGGTGCGCTGCCGGTGGAGGCGGTGCCGAAATGAACGAGGAAGAAACGGCGGGTCTTGGGAGTGCTGAACATCTGCCGGAATCAGAAGCACCTGAAAAGTCCCCAGAAGGCACGCAAGACTTACAAGGCGCAGTGCCAGGTGTTGCAGAGACAGTACCTTCCACAACCACAAGGAAAGATGAAGAAGATGATGATGATGATGATAAAGGGACGGAAGATGAAGAAGAAAAACCAATAGGAAAGCAGGGTGTTAAAGGAGGAAAAGCTGCACCAGACACAGGTTCCAGGGAAAATAATATGAGTGGGAGTGATCAGGAAAATCACCAGTCAATTGCACCTGCAGGGGACATTTCTCATTCCGACAGTCAGGAATCAAATGCCAATCCTACGCAAACGAAGATAGAAAAAAAAAAATGAGACTGACGAAAATACACCTGCAGTAGAGAGTCCACTCAAAACAGTTAACAGGGAGCAAACACTGCCTGCGGGAATTGCGGGAGGAAATCCTTCACCAGCTCAAGAAGAAGGTCTTGATTCCCGCGAACAGGATGGCGAAGACACCATGAGTGAAGATAAAAAAAATGTTCCGCCGCCTGACACTGCCGCTACATCACAAAGCCGCCAAGACGAAGGCTCAGAAGGGACTGGGGAAGATACAAAAGCAACGACAGTAACCGCCAACACAACTGATACGACGAATACACAAAATAGTGACGGCGGCACCGCGATACCCCACACCACCTCTCCTCTTTTTCTTCTTATTGTTGTTGCGTGTGCGGCTGCGGTGGTGGCCGCGTGAGAGTGAGGGAGAGAGAGCCGTGCACCGCCCGCACACACACTCGTCCTTCACTCTCTCTCTGTGTGTGTCCCCTTGCATGGACTCTCGCCCTCACCTCACCCCACGAGGCACACACATAATGTGCCCATTGTATATATGCATGCACACCCATGCAGGCCCGTTGGTGCTCTCTCCTGCACCACACGCACCGCTGCCGTCCTGCCTGGCTGCATGGGCGCAGCACCGTAACTGTTTTTGTTTTGTTTCCATTGCATTGAGTGGGCGACCTCTCTCTCTCTCCCTGTGTGTGTGTTTTGCTTTACGGGAGCAATGAGAGTGTGCGTGCGCTGGTCGTCCCACGCTTCGGCTTTGTTTTTTTCTTTTATTGTTTTACTTGTGTTGTGGTTGAGTGCACCTTTTTTATGCTTTTTTATCTGTCGCTTGCTTTGACTGCGGACGCCTAAAATTGTCTTTGTGTATTCTTATATTGTTTCTCCCTTGTTGAGAGAGTGTCAGTCTCTTGTACCCTTGTCACGCTAATGAATTGTTTTTTTTTTTTTTTTGACACACGCCATGCGTCAGTTTATCCACTTTACTCTGCTGCCTGCATCGCTGCTGGTGTTGCTGTTGATGATCTCTGCGATGTGATTTGTCGGCGGATGTCTTGCTGTCAGCCTGACGCATCCTTCGTTCCTTGACGATTTGTTGCGTACAGACGGTGCGTGGGCGTCTTTGGTGATAGTGAGGGACGCGTGTCTCAGAGCGCAGGATGCGTCGCGGGTGTGCAGCGTCGTTTGTGAGAACCGATGGGTGACCATCCGCATCCAGGCGTCATCAACGGACTGTGAGGACAGCATAAGGCACTGCGGCTTCTTTTGGTGTTGCACAAAGAATTCATTGGACGGTGCGTTTGTTTTCAATCTTTTGCAGCTTTTGTGGGAAAAGGTGGGAGGTTGAGCACATCAGGACTGAATTCATTTGAGTGGCTGCGTTCCGTTGAGTTGCGGCCAGTCGTTGCACTCTTTTGGGGTTTGGCCGCTCGTCTCTTTTGTTTACTTCCCACCGCAGCACGTGGACAACACTGATCCGAAGAACATTTGTTTGACCGCGTGTGGGCTGCTGCCGTGCGTGGTGCATGGACTATGTGATTGTGTGGGGAGGTGCATTGGGGTGACGAATACTTCTGTTTGGCGCATCGCGGTGTGTCGGAATGATGTTCGGATGACACGTGGAGGGTGTTGTTTGTGATTTGTTTGTCTTCTCTGGTGGAGCCGACATGTGTGCGGGGATTGTGGCATTGCTGGCTGACAGCTCCACGTCACTTTTCAGCATTCCTGAATGTGCTGAGGAATGACGGCTGGCGACCAGCGTGTTGGTGCTGCTGCTGGGAATGAGTGCATCGGGAATGGGCCATTTTCTCTTTTCCGTGCTGGAGCCGATGAACTGGCACGAGGGCACCGGCTGCAGGCTGCCTGCCAGCACGTGTGAGCAGCGGATCCATGCACACACAGACGCTCATCGCAAGAGCGTGTGCGATCACAGTGGCCTTTTGTGGCGTGCTTTTGCGGACGTCAGCCCATCGAAGAATGTGTGAAACAAACGGCTGACAGCACACGAGGAAAATAGGTGCGTGCACTGTGCCGTGTTTCGGCGTCGATGGCAGAGCGGCAGGAAGCCCGTGCTGGCAACTGAGATCTTTGCGTCGCGAGGGATGTCGGTGTTGACTTTGGATCGTCGAGGCTGAAGTGATTTTGCTGCTCGGGTGTGTGGCCACTCCGGAAGAGAGCGGACACAAAAGGGAGGGATGCAGGCGCTGCGTGTGTGTGTGTGTGTGCCATGCAACAACGTCACAACAAACATGCTGCGACTCGGTGACCCTCACATCGTTGTGGCCCTCACGAACAGCCCAGGCACGGCCCACACCGATGCACTTAGTGGACGGAGTGAGTCATCTTTTGGGGCGCTGCAGGGAACAGGATGTGTTGACGCAGCCACGACGTGCATAGAGTGTCACGATGGCACAGTCAGCTGTGGCTGGTGTAATATTTACTTCTCGGAGGCAACGGAGGAAGAGGGGGATCTGCTCCTGCTGCTGGCGTCGTTGCTGCCTTTTGTAGCCTCCAATGCCGATTATTGTCTGTCCGCTGATCATGGGTGGCATGCCTCCACTAGTGACGTCGTCTGCAGGCATTTCACAGCAACAGTGAAACACACATCACGTCGCATGCTTTGGCTGTGGATGTGGTGTCGTAAGTGCAGCCGGCATTATTTTGCCCGACTCCTTTTCACTGCTTTGCGACAAATAGATGCGTCCCCGCCCGAGTCATTCACTGCAGCTCCGTGTGTTGTACTGCCAGCACAAGACTCTCTTGTTGTCTGACGCCTGGCTGACAGTCAAGCACCACTGCGTTGGGACATGCAGGGATGTGGACTGCCGCTCACGGTGTTGGGCACCGCTGTTTGGATGCGGCGGCCACACGAGCGGATGTATTGTGGCACAACCAAATGCGTGAAATACGCGGAATCACAGCGGCTGCAATAATATCAGCGGTGTGGCACCACGGAATATGTGAGGGGGCGACGCATGATGAATCACAGTGGGCGGCATGCGAGGGAAGTGCACCGCGACGGAGCGTCATCCCGCCCTCAGCCTGCAGGGGAATGTACACCCACAAAATATATGGACGAGACACCACCAAACACACATGCCCTTCCATGCAGCAATAAATAGGAGCGAAGGTGCGTTCTGGTGTGTGGGAGTCCACTCACATATTTTCATTCCCACCGCAATAAACGGTGAGGAATCAGGAGCCACAGCGACGAAAGGAAAAACAAACATCTATTGCAACACTTTACCAGCGAAGGGCAGGAACAACACAAACCGAATTATTGGCTGCACCAACACAAGAAACATTCACAAGAGGAAAGAAAAATAATAATTGAGCACCCTGCAGAAATCCCCAACACACGACCCAGGCATGAAGGTTTGCCCTCCGCAAAAACAAAACAACGCATGCAGACATCTGCCAGCATTCAAACAGAAACACAAATAAATGGTTGCTTGCATTATTCCATCCACTGCACTTATTTTTGCGTGTGATGCTGCTGCTGCGGTGGTGGCGTCCGGGCCTGTATGAAGTGGTGTGCGCTGAATATGAACGAAGGCCAAAAGGCAACTGAAGTGTTTTTGTGATGAATATTGGCTGCACTTCCCGTGGACCAACAATTCACGCGGTGTGCGGGGATCTCTCCTTTTTTATTGTTACTTTGCTTTTGTGTTGCCGTGTGCGCTGCACCTTCTCTTGTGTGTGTGCGTACACTCCGTGAGGGGTGCAGACACGACGGACCGCTCTCGCCGTATGTGCATGCGGTGGAGCCTTGTGTGCCGCTCCTGTTTGCTTCTCCCTCCTCCATCTGTGTGTTTGTGTTGCGGCAGGGCTGTGTGTGTGTGTGCCTGTTGCCGTGGATTGGAGTGTGTGTCGTGCGTGGTGTGCGGCGTACGGTGCATGCCTGGCTGCTGCCCTCTCCTCATGTGGTGTGCCCTCTGTGTGTGTCTGCCGCACCTCTCGTCTCCCCTGTTGCTCTCCATGTCCCTCACTGTGCAGATCAGCTCCACACCACTGAACGACCACACTCACGCTGATGATGTGCCGTCTGCTGTGCGCCCTGTTGGTGCTCGCCCTGTGCTGCTGCCCGTCAGTGGGCGCCGCAGAGAATAAGAAGGAGAGTAGGGAGAAGACTGAAGTTGATACGAAGGGAAACGGCTCCAAGCCGCTGTCCACTACACCAAAAACTAAGCCGGCTACGAAAGCAGAAGAAGATGACGGAGGGGGACCAGGTACGACCGCTCCGGGACCAATATCAGGTGATGCGGCCGTTACGTTACAGGCAGAAGGTAGTGACGATAAGAAACGGTTACAGAGTAGCACGAATACATTCGCAGGCAAAGAAGATGAGGAAGCCAAAGATCCTGCCGCGACGACCACGACGACGTCTACAACAATGGCACCAACCACGACAACCACCACCACTGCCCCAGAGGCACCAAGTACTACGACCACTACGACAGAGACACCAACCACGACGACCACCCACGCACCGTCACTTCTTCGCGAAATCGACGGCAGCCTCAGCAGCTCTGCGTGGGTGTGTGCCCCGCTGCTGCTCGCCGCATCCGCGCTGGCGTACACCACTCTGGGCTAAAGAGATGTGTGCGGGCTGTGCGTGCCAGCACTCTACCACGGGGACTTGTGAGTCTCATTTGTTTTTCTAAGTAATAAATAAGAGTAATAATGATTGTGTTTTGCTTCATTTGCTTCCTCTGCCCTGCTGTGTGCTCCACGTTGCTGCTCCCTGTATCCGTCACGTTGAACGCACCCCAGACACACTCCTATGCATGGCACGCACACAACTGTTTGCGTGGAATCACATTTGAGGATGGGTGCGTGCGCGCTGGAGCCATACTGTGCAGCTCCTTGTTTTTTGTGTGTTTTTGCATTTTTAACTTCATTGCTGTTTGTTTACCTGTGTTTTGTTTTTAATTGCTTCGTGTGTTTTCTCTGTTTACTTGCTGCGGGGCGTTGTGTGTGTTTTTGCCCTTTCACTGATTTCAACTGCCTCATGGTGGCTGTGCGTGGTGTAGCGGCTATGTCTTTCCTTTTGTTTCCTGTGCTTTTGCAGGTTGGTTCCACAGCGTTAGGCGACTCCACTGTTTGTGATGATGACTGGCCGTGTGCCCTGCGTCCTGTTGGCTCCTGCAGTGATGTGCAACAGCTCGTGCGTGTTTTCGACGGCTGCTGCGACGGTGTGTGTGTGCGGCCCGCTGGTGATGGCGCGGTGGCTGCTGAACAAGCGCGGGCTGTGATGGCTGCGGAATGTGGGCCCGTGGCCGGTGGCTCTGGACGAAAGGGGAATGTGAACTCTGAGGACAATAGCGATCAGGAAGACGAGGAAGACGAGGAGGGTGGAGGAAGCACGGCGGGTGAGGGCCATAATCCCACCTCCGCAGGATCACTCACTGTTCCGACGAGGGAGGATCAATCCAGCAGCGATCCACTGCGAAGTAACAATTGCAATCCGTCCGGCACTGGCAGCGCGTCTGCTGCTCGGATGCGTGCAAGTGGACCGGAGTCTTTGGGCGGAGGGCACGCTGCAGACACAACATCCCCATGCTCCAACGCATCTCAGCAGGCAGCAGGTGGAGTGCACGCTGGTGGCGGGAGGACCTCCCAGGGCAGTCAGGCTTCGGAACAAACCGTCACGGGAGAGTCACAGGTGCCAGGGACGGCGAAGGAAACACCGCAAGGCGACGAAGGAGGAGAACCCGGAGCGCAACACGAAGCCGACCAAATCACAAAAATGACGGTGATGAATTGTTGCGCAAAAACAGCGGTGGAACAGGAGAGCCGCCAGCGGGATCGCAAGATGCACCACGTCTCTATAGTGGAGAGAATGCTCATTATTATTTTTTCCGTACTCTTACCAGCGCGTCTAGCCACACGATGTCATCAGGGTGCCGAGGAGGTGGTCGAGCAACGACATGAGTTTGCTGCCATGAAGCAACTGCCATTGAGAGAACTTTCCGAGGCGAAGGTCCTGTTCAATGCCCAGTCTTTGGCGCACAGCCAAGGTGCCTGGACATTCTAGAAGCAGATGGTGCAAGGTTTCCTGCGGGCCATTGGCGTGCTTGTGGAAGCTGGCTGATCCTGCGGCAGCAGAGATCGCCTCCTGGCACTTCTGTTTAGATGTCGAGTGGTGTCTGGGTTGTGTGCGCAGCGACTTCTGTGCTGTGCGGTGCTTCTCCGTGTGGGGAAAACCATGTCACAGAAATCGCATTTGAGCTCGGGAAGCGGTGGAGGATGTTCCGGGTGAAATGACCGACAGTGACTGACGAGATTCGAGAATCCCGTCAATATAGAATCGCAGTACGGACATTTCTCCTTCCGACGGCGTGTGACGGTTCGTCTCCTTACTGGAGAGACGTCTTCCTCCCTTGCCGACGGGGGAACAGTGTCCGTCCCCGGTGCAGTTGGATCGTTGTTAGAGCGCATATATGCAGACTCTTCCGATGAGATGTTGCAGAAACGGCATTGGTTCGTGCAATCTCTCACAGCCCAGTATAGTCGGCCCCAGAGCTCAGATTCCCCGCACCTTGCCCTTGCGAGATGAACCAGTTCTTGACGGTGAAGAACTTCCTGAGTGATCAGGTCCTTACCGCTGAGATCTGATGGCCTTGTGCCGCAAAGCAAGTAGCGATGAGTGTCTTGAAGAATCGTACTACGCCACTTATTGGTGAGCAGGGTAGTAAAACATGTCAGCAGATCCGTATGCCATAAAGGTGCAATTGCTTGCTCCGTGTATTGTCCAGTTTCCATAGTCTGTGTCGCATACTGATCTGCAAGCTCGTTAGCATGTACTCCACAATGTCCGTAACAAAACTGCAGGTGCACAGACCAGCCAGCACACGTCAGTGTCAAGAGACGCTGCCAGATCTGATCCTCCGTCCAGTCTGTCTGACTGAGCGGGCCGTTGTTTAAAGCCGCAAGAAGAGACTGACTGTCTGTAACCACAAGCAGGGTTTTATGCCCGTGCTGGATACGAGGGATAATCAGCCTCTCCAGGGCTAGAAGCAGCGCACGGGATTCCGTCCTGTAGCTGCATGGGCGTGTACTGCAGTTTATACTGGCGTTTTCTATTATCTCCGATGAATTGAGGGATGAAAGCAGTATTCCAACCCCGGCTGACTTGGGAACGTCTACACCGCCATCCGTTGCGACTATCCAAGTTCCCCAGCGATGAAGTCGCACCTTGTCGCGGTGCTGGGGCTCTGGTTGCATATAGGAACTCCGCTGCGCTGCGTTGCGGCGAGCACGACGGAGACCCAAGACGACTCCACCCCTCGAGAAGGTTCCACGCCATGCCCGGTGTGGGGAGGTGAGGCGGTCTGCCTGCAGACTGTCGGACAAAACTGCACGACCGTTTCGCAGCGGTCACTCCGTTGATATCACCCGTTGCGGTGACGTCCACAAGAACCCTGGCACCGAGGAGGATGGCTTCATCACTGTTTGGCGGCTTAACATTGCAGGCCTCTCGTCCGTAAAAAAGATTGCATCTGCTGTGCGACTGGATCAGCATCCACCTGTCATCGTTCTTCTCCAGGAAACAAATACTCGAAGTGCCACAGCGGCAAAACTATATGGCCATAATGGCTTTCTTCAGGCCGCACTGGGCGCGGTGGTGGCGTTGTCACTCTGGTGCGCCACTCTCTACCGTGCGAGCGCCCGACGCTCCCTGGCACAGACCTCCTGGAGACCATTGCTGTCCGTGCATTTTCACAGGGCTGTCCCAGCATTTGCGTGGTGAATTTCTACAGCCCTCCCACAGCAACCGTTCAAAGCTTTTCGTTTATTATTGCCATTCGTCGCTTAGGCCCCGCAGCGATTATCGCGGGTGAACTGAATTTACATCATGGACACTGAGACAGACACCTACCCTCAACGACTGAAGGAGAGGATTTGTCCTCTACTCCAATTGACATGGATTTTGGGCTGGCAAATGACCCGGCGCAGGCAACACGGATCACAAATCTTAATGTCTCGTCCCCTGAAGTGGCTGCGTATCGCGTACTGCGTGTCACCCACTGGCAATCCACCCCCTACATGGATTCCGACCACTGCTTAATATCTTACTCGGTGGGGATGGATGATGTCATTCCGCGAATAGCCAACACGCTGCCTCGGCGGGAGAAAGCCACTTTTGCCCTGCGTAAGGCGGATTGGCCTGCTTCCACCTCGTTGTGTGAAACACACCCTGCCGCCGCGTCCACATGGTTGGACATTCGCAGTGGTATCTTGCGAGCAGCTGAGCGCCATATCCCGCGCGGCAGCCGTGACAGCCCAAAACAATCTGGACAAACAAATTAGAACAAGCCGAGTCCGTCGCAGAAGCAGCACACAAAGCACACACATCGCTTCACCAGGAGACAGCCTGCTTCGAGCCGAATTCATCCAAAAATGTGGAGGAATAAAATCAAGCCTTACTCCGTGGCTTCGCTATGCTTCTGGAAGCCCGTGCGAAAAAACTTGGGGCCTCATCCAGACCAAGCTGGCAATATCTCCGCGGCGTGGCGGCGCCGCACCCTCATCCCCTGGAATCGGTAGTGCTCCGAACTGATCCTCGGACCGCGTCTGTGCTCCGCCTCGGCAACAGGCAAATCTGCTTGTCCGTCATTTTGTGCGGGTCTCACGTGCCACATTACCTTATACTGCTGCTGCTGCTCGCCGCACTCCCTTGCTCCCTGGTGGCTGGAAAATGGATCGGCCCTTCCCGCCGTATGAACTTGACGTGACCATTCGCGACTCTTCGCTCGGCTCAGCCCCTGGCCACGACAACATGTTGAATGAGTTCCTGCACCATCTCGGGCCCGTTGCGCGCGGCACACTCAGAACGATGATCCACAACTCCTTCGCAAATGGCGGCCTGCCCGGCTCCTGGAATACGGTGGACACTATTCCCATTCCAAACCTGGGAAAGATCCATGCCGCCCAGTGAGTTACAGACTCATCAAATCACTCTCTGTTTTACTACACTGAAAGAATGATTCACCGCCGTCTGTCAGCGTTATTGCCGCACCACCCACGTCAATTTGGATTTACACCTTCGCGTTCTAAATCGGACGTGGTGACACTTGTTATTGGTAAAATTACCCGTGGATTGAATGAGTCCAGCACTGTGGAGTATGCGCACCCTGGAGGCGGCGCCCCACACGCCACCCTCGTCACCATCGCTCGCTCGTAGCCTTAATTGATTTTTCGACTGTGGTCGACACCATTGACCATGGGAAATTATTCGGCATGCTTGACGGACTTCCACGCCTTGGCCCCAAACCCAAACGCTGGCTGCACAACTACCTGCGGGGCCGCTATGTTAGGGTATGCACTCGCGAACAGCACTCCCGGAAACAGCTCGCCTCAGCTGGAGCACAGCAAGGCAGCGTCCCGGGACCCCAACTCTTCCTCCACTGTGTGGATGATCTGCTGCGCCGCCTGGACAACATCTATTCCGCCTCCGCTCTCATGTACGCTGACGACCTCACACTTGTTGCCTCAGGTGCGGAAATTCATGCATGTGCTGCGGCAATGCAACCTGCCCTGTCACCTATAACGACATGGGCTGCCGAGCACAGCCTAAAAATAAACGTTGATAAGAGTGAAGCTGCTCTATTCTACATCTCTTCACACACACGGTCTGAAAAAGACATGGTCGATCTCCTTCCTGGCAATGGGAACCTACGTATTCAGTCTCGCCCAGTGCGCTTGCTGGACACCACGGTTGAACAACTTCTTAATTTTCGTACGCACGCTTCCACCGCTGCAAAGCGGACCATGCCACTTCGTTAACAATTGCGGCCGGTCGCACAGACTGGTGCGTCCCATCACACCATGCAATCCTTTTCGATTGGATACGTCCATGGTGTGTCACTATATAGTGGCGATGCAATTCTCCCATTCTTCGCCCACACCTGCCTCCATAGTACGGAAGTACTGTACCGCAACAGTTGTACAGCATCCCTTGGCATTAGTGCACCAACGGAAGATACATCTGTCTGCTTGAAAGCCAATCTTCTTCTGCTCCGTAAGATACTCTGGCTCCGTGAAACCACACAACACGAACACCATGCACGTTTCCATAATCACGAGGATTTGCGCTCCCTTATCTACACGGAGCCTGTGCCGCTGTCCATGCATAGGAAAGCGGCGACATCAATCCCGCTTCCAAAAGATGCCGTTATTAATGGATTAGAACGCGTATGTGGCACTATTGGGATACCACACAACCACAATCACGCTCCTCCTATTACCCAACATCGAATTATTCCCTGCGACACTGTGAGTTGCAATAAAGTGGAATTTTATCAGCCACGCTTTGCCAACAACGCCTCTGAAGATGTCAAGCGCACGGCTTTTAAATCACTTTACCCCTCTATAGAATATTATATTTTTGAATTATGGACAGACGGTCCTTCACCCCTCGCTGAAGTCGCATCTGGATCCGCTGCACTATTATACGGCCCCACAAAGAAAAATGATCTCCCTGTGGAGGACCATCGTGCAGCAGCTGGCAGACTCGCATGCTCATATAGAGCAGAGTGCCTTGCCACTGAAAATGGCTTTAGACATCTCATACCTCCTCGTCTGGAAACATCCCAATCGCCCACACAAATCCCGGTGGCAACAAACTCCCTTTCGGCAATTGAGGCACTCCGCGCTGCCCCACTGGCCGTGCGAGACTACGTTGCAGAGTAAATTTGGGTTATGCTGCTTTCCTTGGTGAAGCGAGTTCACCCTGCAGAATTTATACCGTTTCCCCATCGCACTGCGGTATCCCACGCAATGAGGCCGCTGACGGAGAAGCCACGATTGCACGATCCCTGCAGCAATGAGGCATCCCAATCTGGCACGTGGACTTCCTTGCCGCCGTCAAGGGGCTATACTGGAAGGAAGTCGAGGAGGAAGAAGAAGTCGCACACACCGCACGCCAGGCGCTCGTCGGTGTAACAGAAACCCCATTCCTGGTGTGCAGGCAGACATCGGGCATCGAATCGCGACTTCGTGCGCAGTTGCGATGCGACTCCTGCCCACTCCTAGGCAAATCGACACGCGCCCTGCAGATTACAAGCAACCCTTTACGTCGGTGGTGCTGCCCCTTCCTCACACTGAAGAGACAGGACCACCCCGACCTCCTCCGGAACCTCCACCTGGCGTGTCCACGGCACCTCCTCGTAGAATGAAAAGCAGCGGATCAACGTCGCCCTGCCCAAGCTGCAGCAGCGTCTTCTCGTCCGTCCACAATTTGAAGGCACACGCCCGACGCACTAACCCTGGCACTCCAATCGTTGCAGAAGGCCTCACACGTGGATTCTGCGACAGCTCCACGGTCTTCCCAACAAGTGCCTCACGCGCAGGTCACTACCGAAAATGTCAAGCGTATCAACGAGCAAAAAACGGACAACGCACCTCTGCAAGCTCCAATGACAGCCGTAGCCCTTCAGCCACTCCTCTGCTGCAACCCCGACCAGCCGCTGAGCCCCGACAATCCACGGGAGGCCCTGCCGCACACGCTGTGGGAATGCCGCCGTCCTCGACAACTGAGCATCCGACTATTTGGGAACACCACCTCTCGCACGACAGCAACGTTCAAGACGGAAAAACTGGCCACATCGCCACGGACAGCCCGCAGGCCATTAACGAAAAGTGGCAGCAAAGTATAACGAAACAAACATTTCCCTTTTCTCAGCATAGAAAAACGTCAACTTCACACTCGCAATTGTCACCAATGAATTCATTGCTTAATACCGCTCCGAGCTGCAATACTTCCTGGTACCATCCAGGTCCCTTGTCGACACATTGATGCGGGTGGGCGCCCATCCATTCCTCCCAATGACGGTGCATGTCTGCGACGCACCCTCATATCCAAAAGGGTCGTCCCTCACCACAACCGGGATCGACTTCGCCCTGTGGGCACGCATCGCTTTGTCAGTGGAGCAGGAGTACGTCAGGCTGGCAGCAAAGCACACGCCAGCACATCAAAAACATCACAAACAGAAGCACCAGCAGCGATGCAGACCGTGGGGTGACGTGGATCAACTGACGCATGCTGTACGTAAAAGAAAATACTTCATGGCTTGAAAAGGATAAGAAACACTTACAGTCGCTCAAAAGAAAGAAAAGTACAAAAGACAATGTAGGCGTACGCAGTCAAAGCATGCCACCAATTCAAAAACACGGCTAATGGGTGCACTCAACCACAACACAAGCAAAACAATAAAAAAAAGAGTGGGACGACCAGCGCACACACTCTCATTGCTCCCGTAAAGCAAAACACACACACAGGGAGAGAGAGAGAGAGAGGTCGCCCACTCAATGCAATAAAAACAAAACAGAAACAGTTACGGTGCTCCGCCCATGCAGCCAGGCAGGACGGCAGCGGTGCGTGTCGTGCAAAAGAGAGCACCAACGGGCCTGCATGGGTGTGCATGCAATATATACAATGGGCACATTATGTGTGTGCTTCGTGGGATGAGGTGAGGGCGAGAGTCCATGCAAGGGGACACACACAGAGAGTGGGTGAAAGACGAGTGTGTGTGCGGGCGGTGCATGGCGCTCTCTCACTCACTCTCACGCGGCCACCGCTGCAGCAGCCGCACACGCAACAACAAGAAAAAGAAGAAGCAAAAGAGGGGAGGTGGTGTGGGAGAAAGCGGTGCTGCTGTCATTTTCGGCAGGTGTCGCCGTATCAGTTGTGTTGGCGGTGGGTTTTATTGCTGTTTGAGGTGCTGCCTCACTAGCTGTGGGAGCTGGGTGGGTATCACTACCCTCAAGATCTTCGTGTGGTTCTTTGGGGTTAGGCCGTTGAGCATTGGCAGTATTCTCATCCGCCGTACTCCGGGCTTCACCACCGCCACTTGTAGAGTTGGGTGATGCTGTTGTTTCTGCTTGATTGGTGGCAGGTGCATTCTCCGTCAAATTCTCTGTGGCTGTGGCTTGACCTTGTTGCTCTGCCAGAATATCCTCTGAAGGATGTTCCGGTGCATTGTACTCTGTTTTTTTTGGTAACAGTAACTTTTTATGCTCTTGAGCATTTGGTGTCTGTGAGTCCGTTGTTGCTGTTGGTGGTTGCCCTTCTCTTGACGATGGTTCTGTTGCTGATGGCGGTACTTGTGTCTTTGGCGTTTCTTGTGGCGTTGTTTGCCATTTTGTTTCGCTGTCGGGGAATGACACGCCTGAACGGTCTTGCGTCGCCAAGGCTCTCTGCTGTGCCTCGTATTCAGTTGTACCTCTACCAACAACTTGGTTGGATGCCGTATCTTCTCCAGTGACGGAATGGTTTTCTGCATCGTTTATTGACTCCTTCGGTGCCTTCACCTGCGACGGGACGGGACCTCCAGTTATTGTGTTTTCTGCATGCTTGCCCGTTTCCAAAGATTTATTCTTCTGATTGGTAGACGCATCGCCGGCGTGCTGTAGAGCAACCCCAGAAGAAGGAGCCTTCAAGATGGAACCTTCAATTCTATCAGTCCCGCCACCACCATGACTGTCAACAGATGGTGCTTGTGGTGATGCGTTTTGGTTTCCTTCCTCTGCTGGAGCTGCTGGCGTTGATGGTGATGGGGTTTCCTTCCGTTTTGTGAAAACTCCGCTTGTCTGACTTCCATCCCGCTCATTTGCATTTTGTCCATCTTCGTGTCGTCTTTCTTCACCACGTTCCGTTACTTCATCCAAATTTTCATCTTCTACCGTTTCTTCTTCCTCTTCTTCTTCTTCCGAAGATCCTTCTGGGAGTGCGGGACGTCCTTCCCGAGATTTGTGTTGTTGCTCCTCTCCTGACGATTGTATTTGTGAGTCTGGTGCTGGCGCCGCATTTCTTGTCCCTCCCAGCCCATCTTCAGCACCACTCGCAGGAACATCGGGTGGAACACCATGAACTGCCGCCTCCCCTTCATCACAACTACCGCCGGCACCGCACCACAGCACGCAGAGGGCACACACCAGCAGCACACGGCCACTCATCATCATCGCCATCACTCCTGTCACTTGCGTGTCGCCTTCAGCACAAACTAACTCCCCGTCAACGCAGAGCAAAAGAGAAAAAAACACCAGCACCGCACAAGGACAATAACAAATACCAGCAGCTTGCATACAGCATGAGGCAGATGAAATCAGCGCGATTGCAGAACTCGTACAACGCCCTGCAAACCAGAAGTTAAAAATAAAAACAGAGTTGAGAGTCCGTCAGGATACCCGGAGAAAATTAAAAAAATTCAATCGGGCAGCACTCTTATTTCATATGCCAAGCAGCACAAGACAACCGTGTGTTTCTGTATACATAACGCCCTCACCAAGAAGAGAAATGAAATTAAAAAAAAGACTGTACTCTTCCACCAGCACACAAAACACTCTTCACACTTCATTGCGGCATCCGGCCTGTTCCCCCAATCCTCCTTTCGTGCAGTCCGTGGGACGCACAGCAGTGACACCGACATAGCGTGTGGGCAACAAAAGACACAACAAAGAGGAGAAACACGTCACTCATGACAGTGTGCAGCAACCGACCATTAAATAAAGAAACAGCAAGGATACTTATTATTCCAGGAAAACAACGACAAAACAAACAGTAAAATGTAAATAATAAAAGAAAACACGCAGGGAACGCGGCACATGTTCTCCGTGAGGAGTCGCAATGCCACACTCTTCGGCTCAGAAGACCGCCACAACTCCACACAATCCCAGAAGAAGCAGCAACGCCCAATACACACACACACACGCACAGTGCCGTCATCAATTAACTCTCGCAGTGTCAATTTCGCGTCGTACAGCAAGGCAAAGCAGTCGTCGGGACACACACCGCTCCCGGAATACTGCGCGGTGAATTCTCGTAATTGGGGTTTTCGTGTCCAGAGGCATTGCGTTGAGTCAATCCGTCCGCATCACCCTCAGCAACAAATCCACTGCCTGCAACGCCATTTTCTAAAACGAGAGATTTGTGTCCGGTGGCGTTGCGCTCACTCACCTCGTCCGTGTTATCCGCAGCAACGTGTTCCCTGCCGCCATAAGTGACAGACATGATCCCGGATGCGTTCAGCGCCACTACGATTCTCGGACCGTTGGCAAAGGAAGGCCTCTTCTTGGATGCATTCGGGACCATCACTTCGTTCGGATTGCTGGCAAATTCAGGCCTCGTCTCGGACGTGTTGGTCGCCGTGTTGGATGCGGGACTCCGATCGACGGTGTTGGGTCCGTCAGCCGCCGCAGACTGTCGCCAATCCTCGTGTTGACGTGACGGCTCAGCATTAACTTACGGCGCAGTTGTCCCACCAGATTTTGTGTCATCCTTCCCTTCACGGGGTGGCGGCAACTGACAGATGCTCGTCTGGTCAGCATCGCTGCTCCGTGCAGGCGGATGGATGGTTCCATCGGAGGGAAAATTGACGCCACCACAATTCATAAGGGCCGGCGTATTTATGTGCCGTCACATTCATCGTGAAGGCAACGGTGGCCCCTTCCTCTTCCGTTGCACAGCTGGCAGCACAGTTGCTACATGTGTGCACCGCATTGACCACATGGCACACAGCACCCAGCTCACCATTCCTGCCATGCATGCGCAAATCAAAGCCGCTGAAAGTATAATTCTCATGCTGAGCCTCAGCACCGGCAGCAGAACCCTTCCTCCACGCCCACACACACACACGCACACACGCACGCGATAGCTCAGGCTGCCGTCACTCGGAGCTCACGGCGCACACCGCGCCGCACCGTCACCGTCGTCATCGCAGTCATCGTCACCCGTAGTGGAGTCGCTGGAGCCAGTCAGCTGATCCGTGAGCCAGAAGGGAAAGGAATGGAACAGGAGGGAGAGGGACGGAGTGCAGCGGATACAGCGAGAGAGCGCAGACAACATGAGGAGAAGGCAGCAGGCCCAGCCGCACAGTTCACACACCACGAGACAGCATCCACGCAAGAAAGGCACACAACGCCAGCAGCCACCCACCATGCAGCAGGAGAAGATATCCACCACCATCTCCTCCCAGCTCATCGCTACAGCCCCACTGAAATGGCCAAAATTTCCAGCCATCCCGCCCTCAATGGGACACGGAGCCCAACTCAGCGCAGTCACACGCGGTGCACCACACCCGCAGGAAAGGAGACTCGGGCTGCGCACTCCCTCTCCCTCCACCTTCTCCTCATGGCCACGGAAGAAGACAACAGCCGCCACACGCAACTGCCAGCATGCACTACAAAAGGAGCATTAATCCACTGCAATGTGCATCTTGTGTGTGTGTGTTTGTGTGTGCCTGCAGAAACACAAAGAAAAAAGGGAAAAGATAGCAGAGTATGTGGAGAGACGCACAACAATGTGCAGCGGAGACGCATGGCGGAAGCAACAAGAAGAAGACCGCTCAAACTCACGATTGCACTGCAGCCCCAGCAGCGGCAATCCAAACGAGATTTATTTGGAACAAAAAAAGCTTTCCCCCCTTCGTCTTATATAAACCCCATCACACAAAATAATTATAAATAAAAAAGAAATCGTCCATTACTGTTCCACACGAATTTAAAAACCGTCTGGCTGCCGTGTGGCCACACCAAACTGTCAACATATATTTTGTCCGAAAATAAAATTAAAAAGATATTTAAATGTCTTTCAACCGTCTGACCCTCCATGTGTCCGCACATCGTTTATATTTCATGAGGTCATCTGCGTGTTGGTGCTCCCCTCAGCCCTTTCATCGGCGCGTGAGTGCGGCCCGCAGAGCACAGTCACTCGTGTGTGGGGACTGAGAGAAGCACGCAGAAATGACGGCAGTCGCGTCTCTCCATCGGGAGAGTGAGCGCAGCAAAAGAAAAAATCATCAGAAGGAAAAGAAATGCTCACGAGGCCGACACCGAAGAGACTGCCGGCACGTGAAATGCACACGCAAAGCAAAAAATCATAAAAACACGGCGGCAGGGTGTGGCTGTGTGTGTGTGGCGCTGCGGGTGTCTGCCCGCCCTGGCCGCAAGAAAACAAAACAAGAGGGAAAGAAATGTGTGCTCCGCCCCACAGGCCCTCGTCGCACGCCCACACGTCACGACTTCCTCAGCGCGCCGTTCGTCGCAGCCCCTCCTCATGCGTGCAGCGGGCGAGGCGCACAGGGCCGTCGTCATGAGCGTGTCGGTGGGTGTGTGAGTGGAGCAGTTGGGCGGGAAACACACGGCACCCCTCACAGGAAGAGTGCAGAAGAAACAATTAAAAGAGGGAAGAGTAGAAAAGAAAACAGAACGTCCATAGTGATTGCCCCCAAAAGCAAAAAAAAAATTTTTACAAAAAAAAAAAAAAAAAAGAAAAAAAAAAATAAAATTAAACTAAAACATTTACCAAATAAATAAAAACAAAACAGAAACAGTTACGGTGCTCCGCCCATGCAGCCAGGCAGGACGGCAGCGGTGCGTGTCGTGCAAAAGAGAGCACCAACGGGCCTGCATGGGTGTGCATTCATATATACAATGGGCACATTATGTGTGTGCCTCGTGGGATGAGGTGAGGGCGAGAGTCCATGCAAGGGGACACACACAGAGAGAGAGAGAGAAGGACGAGTGTGTGTGCGGGCGGTGCACGGCTTTCTCTCCCTCACTCTCACGCGGCCACCACCGCAGCAGCAACCGCACACGCAACAACAAAAAGCAAAAGAAGGGAGGTGTTGAGGGAGACCACGGTGCTGCCGTCACTGTCTTCCGTAATTGCAGTTGCATTTGTACCATTAGCAGTATTGGTTTTCGCGGGTTCGTCGCCATTTCCTGCGGAATGTTCACGCTGTTGGTGTTGCTGCTTTTCATGCTGTTCTTTTTCTTGTCGTTCCGGTTCTTGTTCTTTTAGAAGCTCTTGTTTTTCTCCAGAATGGTGTACGACTGAATTATCCTGATCATGTATTGCTGTTTTTACCTCCTCTTCTCCGACTGTCGTACCTCGCAGTGCTTCTGCTGCTGCCTGTGCTGTCTTTGCTGCTGTTGTTTTTGCGTCTGCTTCCGTTGCTGCTGCTTTTACCTTTTCTGCTGCTGCTGCTTTTGATGCTGCTGCTGCTGCTTTTGCTTTGGCTGTTTCTGCTGATGCTTTTGCTGTTGCTGCCTTTTCTGCTGCTGCTTTTGCTTTGGCTGTTTCTGCTGATGCTTCTGCGGCTTTTGCAGATGCTTCAGCTGCTGTTGCTTTTGCTGTTTTTGCTGCTTCAGTTGCCGCTTCTGCTTTTTTAGCTGCTTCTTCTGCCGCCGTTTTTGCTGTTGCTGCCTTTGCTTTTTCTTCTTCTGTTGCTTTTTCGGCTTCTTCTTTTGCTGCTGCTGCTGCTTTTGCCCTTTCTGCTGATGTTTTTGCTTCTGCTGCTGTGGCTGCTGCTGTGGCTGCTGCCTCTGCCGCTGTCTTTGCTGCTTCTTCTGCTGCTTTTCCTGCTGATGCTTTTGCTGTTGCTCTTTTTGCTGCTTCCGCTGCTATTTTTGCTCTTTCAGCTGCTTCTGTTGCTGCTTCTGCTGCAGCTGCCGCCTTTGCGTCAGCTGTTGCTCCTGCTGCTCTTTGTTCTTGTCTTTCCTGCAATCTCGCAACTGGAATAAATAATTCTTTCAGAGTCTGCTGTCTCCCCTTTACAACTACCGCCGGCGCCGCACCACAGCACGCAGAGGGCACACACCAGCAGCACACGGCCAGTCATCATCATCGCCATCACTCCTGTCAGTTGCGTGCAGCCTTCAGCACAAACTAACTCCCCGTCAACGCAGAGCAAAAGGTAAAGGAGAGACAAGTCACACAGCCGCGCACACTGTTCCATCCAGGAATGAGAGTCACGCACAGTAAAAAATAACAGCAACGCACACAAAAATGAGACAGATGGAATCAGTACAATTGCAAATCTCGAACGCCGCCCTGCAAACCAGGAGTTCTAAAAAGTAAAAAAGCAAAAATTAAAAAAGAACGCATCCAAGGTTCCTCCGCGCATGCACATACGGCGAGAGCGTTCCGTCGTGTCGGCACCCCTCACGGAGGGTATACACACACAAAAGAATAGGTGCAGCGCACACGCAGCAACACAAAAGCAAAATAACAATAAAAAAGGTGATCCCCGCACACCATGTGGATTGTTGGTCCACGGGAAGTGCAGCCAATATTCAT